AAGATTTTAGCTATTGTTTTTTCAAATAGATTTACTGTTCATATTCTTTCTTCTTTACTTTTGTGACCCCAGAGACACCACTTTAGAACTTTTGGTATGATCCCATAGATTTCCAAGGCTCTGTTCTTTTTATAAAAATTACTTTTCTGTTTAACACTGGATAATTTTTTTACTTTATTGGTTTCATTGACATTTCCTCTTTTCCTCTGTTGTCTCTCTTCTGCTATACTATCTAATGTTTTTTAAATTTTTGGTTATTGTATTTTTTTTTTGAAGTTCTAAACCTTCCATCTAATCCTTTTTTTTTTTTTTTTTTTTTTTTTATTTTTTTTGGTACCATGGATGAAACTTGGGACCTTGTGCTTGTGAATGAGGCAGGCGAGGTGCCACTGAGCTAAATCCCAAGCCCTGTTCCTTTTTTTTTATATGGTTTTTCTTTGGTGGACTTTTTATTTATTTCAAATGTATTCTCCATAATTTTTTTTTCAGTACTAGTTATTGAACCTAGGGAGTGCTGAGCTACCTTTCTAATTCCTTTCTTTCCTGCTTTCCTTTCTCTCCCTCTCAGTCCTGGTGATTGAACCAGTGGCATTCTATGACTGAGCTACAGTTCCATGTGAGCTATTCAGTCCCTTGAGATCATTTTCAGTAGCTGCAGGGTTATGAGGAAAGCTCTCCTAAACAAATGTAAGAGAATTGGGACAGGGATTTAGCTCAGTGGTACGACTGCCTGCCTCAAAAACATAAGGTCCCAAGTTCAATTCCTGGTACCAAAAAAATTTTTTAAAAATCAGGAACTGTTAAGCGATACAGGTTGAATGTCCCTAATCCAAATATATGAAATACTTCAAAATCTAAAATCTTTTGAGGGCAGACATGATGTTGCTGGTAGAAAATTCCACACTTGATCTCATATGATGTTTGAAGTCAAAATGCTCATGCACTAAAAAAATATTGGGGCCAGGGATTTAGCTCAGTGGTGCCGCCACCTGCCTCACAAGTGCAAGTCCTGAGTTTGATCTCCGGTACAAAAAATATATATATATCCTGTATTGTGTAAAGTTGCCTTTAGGTTATAGATGTAATGAGGATATGAAGCAAAAATGAATTTCATGATTAAGCTTGTGTTCTATCCCCAATACATATCATTATATATGCAAATGTATATTCAAATATGCATATGCAAATATATATGTGTATATGCAAATATATATGCAAATATTTCAGGATTTAAAGAAGTAATCTGAAATCTAAATGGCCAGGGATTGAGTTCAATGGTTCTGGCGCCTGCCTCACAAGCACAAGGACCCGAGTTCAATCCCCAGTACCAAAAAAATAAATTAAAAAAAATAAAACATTTCTGACCCCAAGCATTTCAGGTAAGGGATATTCAACTTGTAGTGTTAACGTGGACTGCTCTACTCTACTGAGACCTCTATGGATCTATAAGTGAAAGGGCAGGACTTGATTCAGTACAATTATAGAGCACATAATGAATTTCTATGTTCCAGGTCCTACACTAGGCACTAGAATATAAATGTGGAAAAAACATTTTCTGTTCTCATAGAATTGAGGTTAAATGGAGAGGCAGATGCAAATAAATAAGTACAATGAAGAAAAGCCATAGAGGTCAGAGCAAGAAAGCATGGTCAGGAAAAATTTGATAGAATGCTTGCCTATGATGGAACAGATGAAATTGGTTCATAGAGTTTTACTTACTAACATTGAATAGCCTACAAGACATGATTAAATGCAAAAAAGAGAGCTGGGACTGGTGGTCCACACCTGTAATGCCAGCACTCTGGAAGGCTGACGCAAGAGGATCCCATGTTCAAACCGAGCCTGGATAACTTAGTGACTTAGTGAGACCCTGTCTCGAAATAAAAAAAGGAATGTATTGCATTGGTGGTTCAGTGGTAGAATTTGCAAAATAAAAAAGGGCTGGGAATATAGTTCAGTGTGAACACTCTGGGTTCAATCACCAATGCCAAAAGAAAAGAAAAAGCAAGGTGAAAAGAATGTGGTGATATGATTCCATCTATGTGAAAAAACCAAAACCATATTGGTGTGTAAATACAGCGAAATTTATGAAAGAACATCTGCCATCTTAATCACTTTTCAGGAGGGAAGTGGATGCAGAGGTAGAGATACTAGGGGAGACTGTATGGTTTGTGTGTTTTAGGAGATTGTTTTCAATTATTATGTGTGTTATTAAGTATAATGAGACCATGAATAAATAATGGAATATTGATAGGATGTAATGTTATTCGGATGTAGAGACACCATTCTGTAAGTTAATAATTTGCAAACATTCTCTAGATTTGAAACCCTTCTAAAAGCAATTATATCAAGTCCAGATTTTGGTTTTTTTTTTCTTTTGGGTTTTTGAGACAAGGTCTTGCTATAGTTAAGGCTAATCTCTAAATCACTATGTAGCCCAAGCTGACCCCTAATTTGCAGCAATCCTCCTGCCTCTCCCAGGTGCTAGAATTAGAGGCATGCTCTATGGTGCACTACCACACCCAGCTCAAATCCAGTTTTTGAGAAAGCAGAATGATTTTGTTTCCAAGTTAGAGTTGGAGGACCTAGAGATCTCAATTCCTATGCCTGTGTGCACACTTGCATACAGATAAAGAGGCCTGGAATGCTTTATAGATCCTGGGTTTTAATAATCACAATATCCAAAAGAGAATATTACAAACATTAAAATATTTACTTTTTATTAAATATACTAATTTTTCTATAAGAAAAAATATTTTTTATAGCAAGAAGATGTTTTGTAGAAATTACTCAACACTGAAACTGTATGGTGAGCTGAATATTCTCTTACATTGATGATAGCAGTATAACTTGACACATGGATTATCTGTAATGCAGAAATTAGAAATGCCTCTAGTATCTTACACTGCATTTGGTGAAATGTGAAGTTCACCAAATTATATTTAAGATAATTTTTTGTGTATTTTGTTTTCTTTTACAGTACTGAAGATTGAACTCAGGGACTTTCTACCACTGATCTATATCCTTAGGGTGGAAAGGGTAGACAGGGTCTTGCTAAATTGCTCAGGCTGGGCTGGAACTTGAGATCCTCTTCCCTCTTTCTCCCCAGTGGCTTGGATTATAGGCTTGTGCCACCATGCCTGGCTATTCAAGAGGATTTTTAAATCAATGGAAAAGGCTAGCTAAGTGAAAGAGCCTCTTCTCAGGCAGACCTTTCCTTGCTGAGATAAATAGTAATTCTTTTTTTTTTCCCTTTTGTGGTTCAGGGCCCTGCACATACAAACTCAATAGCTCTTTCCCACTGAGCTACACCCCCAGTTCTATAACTTCTGCTATTGCCAAAAGTTAGTTTTGCCTCTGTTTGAACTTTCTGTGTATTATTTAGTGTCTCTCCTTTCATAATTCTATATAGCATTCCTTTGTATGACTGTACCACAGTTTACCCATTTTTTGTTAATATATATTTGTTTCCAGTTTAGGGCTATTGTAAATAAAACTGATAACATTTTTGTTCATGCCTGTCTCAGTTACTTTTCTCATTGCTGAGACAAAATACCCAACACCCAGAGTTAGAGGGGGATAGGTTTATTTGGCACACAGTTTATAGGGGTTTCAGTCCATAGGTGGCTGGCTCCAAGGCATGGTGGCATATGGAAAAGGGGCTTCACAGAGAACAAACTGTTCATGGTGCCCACAAGGTAGCAAGAGCAACAAGGAAAGACAAGCCTCCTTCTGTCCCTTATATGGTACTCAGGCTACTAGGATTAGAACAGTGCCAAACCAATCAGTGGACTGGTCCAGCAATCACCCACCCTTAATCCTAGCATTGCACCATGAATCAGTCATACACTCTAGATTAAGTCCCCTGTGAAAAAGCTCCACCCATGACCACATGAGGCTTTGGGGGGACATCTAGACACAAACCATAACAATGTCTTAATGGGTATATGCATTCATTTCTTGGGTAAACATTTCAGAATAGGATTGCTGTACCATGTGATGAACATGTTTAATTTGATAGAAAACTGCCAAACTATACCAATGTAAATTCTCACCGGCAATGTTTTGGTGTTCCAGTTACTCCACATTCTTGCCAGTGCTTACTATTGATAGTCTTTAATTTTATCACTCCTGGTAGGTTTGTGATAAGGTATATTGTGGTTTTATATATATTTAATTGCTTTTGGTTTTAACGTTCATACCTTTTCTAACCAATAGATTCATTTTTTAGTATATTTTCCTAGGGTATAACCTGAAATCCAGAAGGAAAAAATTTATGGACAGTGTATACTCTTCACAGCATAACTTAGCCAAATATGAGAAATAACCTAAATGTATTTATTATATGATGGAAGTGGTTCCATAATTTAGATGCATTCCTAATGATAATATATGAAGCCATTAAAAATTATTTAGACATTAAAATCAGAATACAATATTGTACATATAGTGTCAAATATAGAAATGCTTATTAAAATAGAATGGGTATACTTCAACAAAAAATATATTTTTAATTCTGTAAGGAAGCCATGCATGGTGGCGCATGCCTGTAATCCCATTACTCAGAAGGCTGAGGCAGGAGGATCGATGTGAGTTTGAAGCTAACCTAGCTACATAGTGAGTTTAAGGCTGGCCTGAACTACACAGTGAGACTGTCCCAAACAAACAAACAAAACCAAATTCGGTAAAAAAACAATGGAATATATTGGAATGGTTGTACTGTGTGATTTGCTTTTCCTCCATCTTTATATATTTTTTCTAAAGATTGTGTGATCATTTTAGAATAGCACAAAATGTAATTGAATTTCAAGTATGCCAGATTTTATGTTGTGTAATGCTTTCTCCCTACCTATTCTTTCCTGCAAAGTGGAAATTTGTTCATTTGGGTTTCTTTAAATATTTTATTTCTCCTGTTATTTTGGCTCCCAAATTATAAGTTGTATGAATAAGACATTCTTAAGTCATTTCTTTTTCTGAAAATCTGATGTTCCAACATCCAGTCTAGGACTGAAGATAAAATAGAGCGATTCAAGAAAGCAGTTGAGTACTATTCAGTCACAACCAAACTCTCTTCGTTGCCAGTGGGTCCCTCCTTTCTAGGTAAGGCTTCCATCTGACTGCCCTACTCATTGGGGGAACTGAATTGGCCCTTCATGAACTCCAGGGCCAGAGTGGCATCACTTATTTATGGTTATTTTCTTTGAAGTCATTCCTGTTTGTGACTTCCATATCATTAAGAAAGAGCCCTGCCTTCCCAGATTTGTAGATGAGTTACAAAGCCATTTCCTTAGCTTAGCTTGAGCTTCTAGAGCTAGCCCCCTTGAGCTTCTAGAGCTAACCCCTATTCTGGCCTGGTGTATGTAAAATAGACCTATCTTTTGGGTCAGGCTTGAGTGAATTCTACCTCTGCTGCTTACCAGCTGAGTGACCTTGGCAAGTCAACATTTGTATGAAATGTGGCTCATGATATTTACTCTATAGGGTTGTTATCTGATGAAATAATTCATGTAAACTTCCTAGCGTGGCACATAATAGCTATTCAATTAATTATAACATCTTTCATGTAATGATGGTTTAGTAGAATGTTACGTGGTACAAGTATTAGGATTGACTATTAAGTACACTCCTTTTTCTTGGCTTCAGGCTTTCGAAATAATCAGCTTGGAAATCCTTCCCTTCCACGAAATCAAATGGGCACCATTTCTTCTGGAAAGCCAATGGTAAGTTTGTTTAGGAGACCTGAGATCATTTGTTAGCATTAAACTCAGGTTGCTTCTTGATTTTTATAATCTGAGTTGAGTAGGTAGGTTCATTCACTGATCCAACTATTAGACTGTGTATTCATACATTGCATTCTATGTTGATTCAGGTAACCTATGTAAATAAAAATAACATCCAGGTCAGTAACCACTAGGGCATTGCAAAAGTAGATTAGCTACTGTCCGAGCATGGTTCTAGGAAACCTGGATTGGTTCATTGTCCTGCCTCTAGTTGATTCTGTTTATATATCACTTTAGAATTATTTCTGCTTATTCTTAGTAGGTACCTTTTATCTCAAGAGTTCCTGCTACTGGTATCATCTACTATGTTTCAGATTCTTAGGGAACCATCTTGGAGCCTGGTAAAATGTTAAGCAGCTTTTCTATCTGTTTTGTCCTTTAGTTTCCTCACCAAGTGCCCCAGAAAGTGAAATATCCACCACCATTCTCAGTGGGACCCAACTCATCTCTTCTCTTCTCCTCCCATGCTCTGGGGGAATCCAATGCCTTTTCTGAGGATCCCATGATACAGGACAGCCCCTTTGCCAGTTGGGCTGTCTCTTATGACTCCTCTGCATCCCAGTTTCCTAATTACCTTACTTCCAAAGCTTCACCTCCTTTGGGACCAGACTCTTCCCACTCTTCTTCCTCTGATGGCGATGAGCCAAATGGAGCCAGCTCTGAGTAAGTAGCTGTATAAAACCAAGGGAAAAGACTTCAGAAGGCATGTGGGAAGTGTATAATCTTTCTTTCCCCTGATAGTCTTTGCTCTCTGGCCCTGTGCAAGTGGTGATATTCAGACACCCAGCCATTGAAGTAGAAGCCAACATAGCCATTGGTTAAGGAAACTATGGTACAAATGTGCTATGTAACATGAGTGTAATTATGCAATGCTTGTAGGAAGAAAAAAATATAGAGTTGAAGTATTGTAATAGTTGGATAGACAGTTGTATTGTTTAGTAACTAAGAGAGGATTCTTACTGTGTACTTGCTCATTTGTTTTTATATTATACCTTTAATTCCTAGGAAGCAGAACTGCATTCAGGTCGTAGTTCTAATTATTTTCTTAAAATATAAGCAGACTGCAAACATGACCTCTTAAAAATATAAAGGATTTGGAGTGATTCCTGTGACTTTTGATTGTTTTGGTTTGTATCAGGAAAAAGAAGCCAGGAAGGCAGTAATATCCACTGAGAGGAAAGGTATCAGGTTCAGAGCTAACCCAGTGTCCTGACTCCCAGAAGTGTTTGTAAGATTCTGTGAGATAAGAATGGACATACAAGCCAGGCGTGATGATGCACACCTGTAATCCCAGCACTCAGGAGGCTGAGGCAGGAGGATCACTGTGAGTTCAAGACCAGCCTGGGCTACATAGTGAGTTCCAGGTCAGTCTCAACTACACAGTGAGACCCTGTCTCAAACAACCCCCCCAAAAAAAGAATGGACATACAGAGTAGGAATACCTTTTATCAATCTCTCTTTTCTGTTTTATACTGTCTTGCTAAATTTTTTTAGTCACATCACAGAAACACTTCAGCAGCAGCCTGGATGGGAAGATTCCAATGGTAACAGAGGGTCTTGGGCACAGCCTGTTGATGCTGAAGTTTCAGAAGCCAGCCTAGGTGATGGTGAACCTCACATCCCATCTCTGCTGTCTATGTCTACAAGGAACCACATGGATATCACCATTCCACCCTTACCTCCAGTAGCTCCGGAAGTCTTACGAGTCGCTGAACATAGACACAGGAGGGGCCTTATGTATCCATATATCTACCATGTCCTCACTAAGGTGAGACAGACAGCACATGAGCACTTACCTTCTTACTCTGAACAGTACTTTACACTCACTGAGACTAAGTTGTCAAAGAAAAGTGTGATCGTTGGTATCTAGGAGATTAAAGGAGATCACACGTGCTGGTGCCCCTCATTGCATTAAGGGCTTCAAGTAAGGTGGGACTGTATAGTAATTAGCTTCTTATAAGAGAATTATAATTGTGACATTTTGAAATAGTGCCCCAAGTTGGTAGGCTCTGGCTCTAGGAAAAGGCATAGTCTAAGAAGAGGCTTTGTGCCCTTGTTCCTTATCCTTACCTCTTCCTTTACTTCTACACAATTGCTCTCCTCCTGTGGTCCTCTCATACAAATTCATGACCCAGGAAAAGGCCTAAGACAGACTCTCCACTTTGTCAGCTATAAGTTGACCAGAGCTGCGATGGTTAAAGTGGAATTATAGCTTAGAAGTTGATTGTGGTCAGCTGAGCTTCTTACAGTTTCTTTTTTAATCTGAAACTGCTGAAACAAAGAAAATGTAATACTTAGGCTACAGTTCATTATGGGCTCTTTCTTCTAAGCTCAGTTTCAGACGTTGAAGAAACTCATTTTCTCCTTTTCCCTGGATCATTCTTTTATTAGGGTGAGATTAAGATCCCTGTATGTATTGAGGATGAGTGTAACATGGAGCTACCCCCAGCTGCTCTTCTATTCCGATCAGCTCGTCAATATGTATATGGGGTCCTTTTTAGTTTGGCGGAGACACAGAGGAAAATGGAACGCCTGGCCATTCGGCGGCGGTTACCTGTGGAAGGTAAGTGTAGTTCTAGCTTTGACAGCTCTCTCATTTTATGCCATACTTTTGGCTATGGAGTGGTTTTTAAGAAAATCCATCATTCACCAGAGTACGTATTTATATGAAAGACACATTTATTTATATGAAATCCCAATTCTGCAATCATCAAGCATTCAGAATGACTACTACTCATAAGAACTATGCTGAGTTTTTGGAATATAAAAGTGTATCTAGCACAGTTTTCCCTCCTCAGAGAGGCATTTGTTTAGAGATTAGATCCTATAGGTAGTTGAAGTTGTTGAAACCACTGGGATTTTTAAGCTACAGAGCACCATGGTCAAATTAGCATGTTTAACAGAACACTTCAGATTTCTGCTTCCATTATGATGGAGTAGATTAGGTGTACTTTCCCTATTCCTTCTACTAATTACAACAAAAACCCAGGACATTATATATAAAACAAGAACAAGTTACTCCTTATTTAAGTAGGAGAGAAGGCAGACTGGCTAATGGCCTTGGGACCCAAGAAATGATGCAATGATACAATAGTAAGTTCCCTGGGTTTCTCTTATATGCTAGACTGGGTGCAGGACAAGCTTGTCAACAGGTGCAGACCACACACATACACGCACACAGCTTATTTCTCTGGCCAGAGGACTGAAAGAAGCAACCTAGCCACACAGAAAATTTTTAGGTAATAACTGCTGTACTCCAGCCAAACACCATGGAAAAAAATGGTCTGTCCCCACCAAAGAAGCTCTTTGTGAAGAGCTACACTTACCAGGTTGTAATGAGGTGTTCATCTGCTCCTGCTGGGGAGGTGTCAGATGAGGTCAAATTAGGAGCTAAGACTTCTATTCCCACCTAGCAATAATGAGATAGTGTCCTCCTTTATCCACCAGAGTGGTCAGATAAGGCCTGCTAAACACAAGATTTAAATAAAATCTATTATCTTTTAAATGATACTCAAAATGTTCAGGCTTTCATTGAAAATTCCTCATTGTGCCAAGAACCAGGAAGATTTCAAATTGAGATCTCATGAGGCAGGCATGGTGGTGCACACCTGTAATGTCAGCACTTGGGAGGCTGAGGTAGGAGGATCTCTGTGAGTCTGAGGCCAGCCTGGGCTACATAGTGATTTCACGCCCAGACTGAACTACATAGCAAGACCCTGTCTCAAAAAACCGGAGGGAGAGGGAGAGAGGTCTCAAATTGACAGAATAAATTAACAAAATGACAAAAGTTTGAATTATTGGATAAAGATTTCAGAGCAGCCATCATAAAATGTTCTAGTAATTGCACACATTTGAAACGAAAGTAGGAATTCCAAGCAAAGAAATAGATTTCAAGAATGAAATGGAAATTAAGAAAAATGCAATAATCAAAATAAAACATTGGACACTGAATGAATGGGTTAAGTGGCAGAGTGGAACAAGAGGATGAATCAGTGAGCCTAAAAACAGAGCAATAGAAATCAGACTCTGAATCACACACACAAAAAGACTGAAAAATGAGCAAGAACTGGTAGGATTATAACAAAAGGTCTAATATTTATACTATCAGATTCTCGGGACAGGAGAAAGAGTAAAATTGCAGAAGTATTCAAAGAAATAATGGCCATAATAGCTTCATGTTTAGACCTACAGATTCAAGAAATTGAGCAATAATCCTCCCTAAATCCTTGTCAAGATCGATCATGGCCACATTTTCCAAAGTTATTGAAGTTACTGAAAGCCCAATATAGAAGATACTTTACTAATAGGAGAAAAGAGCTCATTATAAAGCAAAAAAGATCTTGTAATAATGAAGGAAAAATCAGGACATTTTCAGATGAAGGAAAGCTATGATAATGTTTCACAAGCAGACGTACCCTGAAAGAACAGCTAAAAGTAGGGATTTTGTTGTTGTTGTTGTTTGTTTTTTGGGGTTTTTTTGTACTGGGTATTGAACTCCGGATCTTGCTCTTGTGAGACAGGCGGTGCATCCACTAAGCTAAATCCCCAGCCCTTTGTTGTTGTTTTTGAAAGAAGGTATTTTGTGGCTCAGGCTATTCTCAAACTCCCAGGATCAAATGACCCTCTTATTTCAGCTATATATGAGTAACTAGAACTATTGGCAAGCACCACCCTGACCAGCTAAGGCAGTTCCTTATACAGAAAGAAAATGATAAAAGAAGCCAGGGTGATGGTGCATACCTGTGATCTCAGTGCTTAGCAAGCTCAAGTAGGAGGACTGTAAGTTCAAGGCCAGCCTGGGGTAAGTTCAAAGCCACACTGAACTACATAGTAAGTCCAGACTCACCTTGTATTAGATAGTGAGACCTGTCACAGAAAACAAACAAACAAACAAAAAGTTAAAAGAAGAATCTTGGAAATAAAGAAGAAAGCAAAACTAGTAGAAAAAACTAAAGTATAGATAAATAAATAGACTTGCTGTCTCTTGAATTTCTAAATTGTATTTTACCTTGAAGCAAAAATTATAACATTGCTTCACATGGTTCTCAGTGTATGTAGAGAAAATTATTTATTTTGGTTTTTTGAGACAGTTTTACTGTGTAGTTCAAGCTGTTGTTGAACTTACTATGACTTGCAAGCCTTGTAGATAAAATATTGTATACAGTTGTAAATATTATAATGTGAGCCAGGTGTGGTGGTGCATGCCTGTAATCCCAGCACGTAGAAAACTGAGGCAAGAGGAACTCCATGAGTTTGAGGCCAGCCTGGACTACATAGTGAATTTAAGGCCAGCCTGGAATATGCAGTAAGACCCTGACTCAAAAGAAAACAACCAGTGTCATAGGGTAAAGAGGGATAACACAGGCCAGTTTCTTATACTTCACTCAAACTGATAAAATGTCAATACCAATAGGCTATAATGAGTCATGCATATTATTGATTGATTGATTGATATGGATGCTGTGGATTCAACCCAGGGCTTTGTGGATCTAAGCACTACTGTATCAATGAGCTCCCCTTCTTCCCCGGCCCTCTCTGTATATATTTTTTGGTACATATTCTAGGTAATAAATTATATACAAAATGGGGCTGGGGTGTAGCTTAGTGGTAGAGCTTGTGCCTAGCATACCAGGCCCAGGGTTCAATCCCCAGCCCTCTCCCAAAAATGTATATATAAATAAGCCAGGCGTGGTGGTGCATGCCTGTAATCCCAGCACTCGGGAGGCTGAGGCAGGAGGATCGCTGTGAGTTCGCGACCAACCTAGGCTACATAGTGAGTTCCAGGTCAGTCTCAACTACCTAGTGAGACCCTGTCTCAAAAAACCAAAAAAAAAATATATATACATATATATATGTATGTGTGTGTGTATATATATATATAGACATACACCTAAAACAGTAATGGCTAAATCAGAATGGAATCCTAAAATTTGTTCAAGTAATCCACAGGAAAGAGAGAACAATAAAACAGAGGGAAAAATCAGAATATAAACAAATACAAAATGATAGATTTAACATGAAATACCTCAATAATTATATGGAGTATATTAGTCTATACCAGTGGTGGTGAACCTATGGCATGCATACTGTTTGTTTTTCTTTTAAGACAAAAGATGTTAATGTATGAGCTGTTTTTTTTTAAAACTACAACCTCAGTATTCAGGTTTAATTGCAGTGCTGACACTTTGTGCTAAGTAAGTGGGTTATGCATTGCAGTTTGGGCACTCGTCTCTAGAAGGTTCTCCATGACTGATCTATACCAGTTAAAATGCAGAGTTTGGGAGACTGAATAAAAACATGGCCCAGCTATATGCAGCTTACAAAAAATTCACTTGAAATATACATGATATTGGTAGATTGAATATAAAAGGATGGAAAATGTTCTACTGTGCAAACCTTAAAAAGAGATGGAATGGCTGTATTAATACCACATGTAGTACACTTCTGAGAAAAGAAAATTTCCAGGGACAGAGAGAAAGATTATATAATGATAAAATGGTTAATCTACCAAGAAGGCATAGCAGCACCTAATATGTGTCGTCAAATAACAGAACCACAAAATATGCCATTCAATAACTGATATAACTGAAAGGAGATATGAACAAATCCACAATTATAGAGGCTTCAGCTCCCCTTGCAATAATGGATGGGACTGCTAAACAGAAATTCAATAAAGGTATAGAAAAACTCAACAATATAATCAACAATTAGGCTCTGACTCTTATTGAGCATACAACCAGAGTATAATATACATTCTTCGTATGCGCTGACAGCATGTGCCAAAGTAGATCATATCACTGGTCATAAAACAAAACATAATTTTATTCATTGAAACTATGCAGAGCATTTTGTTTGTGATACTGGGTATCAAACCTAGGGCTTTCATATTGAGATACATTCCAGCCTTTTATTTTGTATTTTTTCTTGGCAGGGGGAGGGGTGGTGGTGGTACCAGGGATTGAACTTGGAACCTTGTGCTTTCATGTGAGACACGGTGCTGCTGAGCTGAATCCTCAGTCGCTTAGCCCTTTATTTTGGAGATGGAGATTTCACTGACTTGCCCTCACTGAGCTCTAACTTGTGATCCTCCTGCCTTAGCCTCTCAGAGTGCAGTTACAGGCATGTGCAACCATACCCAGCATACAGAGCTAATTCTTAGACGTCTATAAAATCAAAGGAGAAATCAATAACAGAAAGATAACAAAACCTAGGTGAGGTGACACACAGATGTAATCTCAGCAATTGGGAGACTGAGGCATGAGAATCACTGCAAGTTTCAGGCCAGCCTGGGCTACATAGTGAGTAGGATTAATGCTGTTATGAAAGGGAGCCCAGAGAGCTATATCTTCTCTGCCATGTGAGAATACAAGAGAAGACAGCCATCTGCAAATCAAGAAGCAGGCCTTTATCATCTCTATCTGCCAGCACTTGGATCTTGGGATTTTTCAGCCTCCACAACTGTGAGAAATAAGTGTCTATTGTTTATAAGCCACCCAGTCTAAGATACTGTGTTATAGCAGGTAGCTGGACAGAGACAATATTGATGCAAACATTCTTAACAAA